AGTTAGATAGGAAGTCATCTGTTGTTATAACTGTACAGCAATAATCAACAGCAATCAATGATTCTGAGATTTTATGCAGGAGCAAAGACGGCCCTTCAGTTAAACAGAACCTGTTAGTCCATTTTTTTTGTCCAAAAAATTAGAAAAAAATAATAATGGATAAAAAAAATAAAGGATTTGCGCATAACATTTGTCAATTGTGACTTTAACGATGAATAGACATAAAAAAATTTTGTAACTACAAAAAAAAAAAAAAAAACGAAGTGAAGATACAGTTTAGCGGGATTAAAAATTGTAGAACAACTTTTTTTTTGTTTTTGGTAATTTTTTAAGGCTTCACTGCAGCTGTTCAATAATAACTGATAAATTTTGAACAACAAATTACTGTAAGTCATTTTTAATTTTTTTTTCTCTTCTGACTTCTCATTATGCTTCTGTTGGTTGGATCAGTACTAAAAAAAACGCCAAAAAAGAAAAATAAGCGTAACAATGTTTGTAAATTTTAGCAAATTGTTGATTAAATTGTTGACACAAAAATAAAGCTAACTGAGCACGAAGATGCAGTCGACATTTATAGGCTGCTTAAAAGCAATACAAAAGTCGGTTTTAAATTACCTTTCCAAAGTTATTTCTGGCCAAAATTTTGTATTCACCACTGTCCTCGGGCACGACCATAGAAATTTTCAGAATTGCCAAGGAACCCTTATGTGTAACAGTAAAACGTGCTGAGCTACTCGGATCAATCACTTTGCCATTTTTAAGCCAAGTGATCTATAACAACACCGATCATAATCAGCGACCAAATGACACCGCTAAACTTTCATCAACTTTTTGAAATTTTTGCTCCAGAAATTTTCAGTCTTATTTTGAAAAAGTATGCAATCAAACTCTTTTGTTCTGAATTGTTCAGTATCTCTAAGATCGACTGAAAAAGGAAAAGTCATCAAAAAACTGAATCATATCGCCTATTTTTAGTCTAACTAGTCATAACAAGGACAACTTACTGTTTGGCATTCCAATAAATAAATTCACTACCTATGTTTTGCATGAGTGAAATATTTTCTGCAATCTTAGGCTAAAACGGGCAAGAAGTAAAGCTGTAAAATTTGTTTGTGTGCTATTCAAATAAAACTTCATGATATAATCCGTTTTTAGTTTTTTTTTTTAAATATGAACTGAAAAAATTTATTTTTCGCTGATATATTCCGAAACAAACTTTAACTTTTGTTGGTACAATTCTTTTTGTTGTTTCACTGTCAGTCCGTGGTGTGTGATCGGTTTTATTCGGCAAATTTTGCGCCCAGTAGCAGCCGATAGTGGCTTGATGGAAAAAGAAAAAGGTATATTTTTTGTCTAGTAAGCGGTAAAAAAGACCTTTTCAACAGCTTCAAGAAATTTATCTAAAATATAAAAAATCAAAAAATTATAAAAAACCCTAAACCTATATGAAAAAAAGTTTAACCACTCAGTATTTGAAGTGTTTTGTAATGGTGCAAATGAAACTGACAGGTTAACAGTCTAAAATTTGCCGTTCTTTTTCAGCAGCGCAATGGTTCTAAAGCGCTGTAAATTTAAGAAGCTAGTCCAGAAAACTTTTCTTTTGTACCCACTTTATGAACAAATTACTATTTCACAACACTGGGACGAAAAAAGAAATGACAATCTTTTCCATAGTATCTGACTACCAAAAAAAAAAAATGAAAGAAAATTACCATATGCTACAAATTTTTTTTTGTACTACATGAATACCGTATGATCAATTTAATTAATTTATGCTGTTTGAAGTTTACGACAGTAGAAACCTTCTATAGCTAAGTAAATATACGTGTATGCTGTTTGCCAGGTACCCAAGATTACTATGTTTACCGTTGGTTTTGGATTTCCGACAACACTGCACTGCAGAATAGCATCGGTCCCTTCGGTAAGGCGTAACCCTTTGAGCGGAGTTTGTAAGATTGGCGGTGTACCAACATTCCGAGGATCTATTGCTGCTAATTCAGGTTCCGTTTCACTTTCGCTAACGCCCCATACCTAGTGTCAGAAAACTGGCAATTTTATATCCCAAACTGTGTAAGATTAACCAAAAAAATGTATTTCAAGATATGCTTTAGAACATGAAATTTTAATCAGTGACTTAATCACAGTTTTACTGCTTGTTAATCACTTATATCTGAACATCATTTCGGTGCTTTTTTAGATTAGCTATATGACAGTTTTTATGACTTTGCTTATCAAACTTTCAAACAGCATATTCTTGACACCAACCAAATCCAGTGAACTGCTGTGCTCAGAGCTACCGTTTCCAGTAAATCTTTGCATTTGCCGCTGCGCGATTGTTGCTGGTTTCCCGTATCCGTACTGCTTTGTCATATTACCCATTTTTTCTGGAGATAAAACTAAAATTGGAACTGTTAATCCATTTTTTTTTCTTAAAGTACTAATACGTGTAAGCTGAACTGTTTCTTCGCCAGTAATTTTCATTCTACCTTTCTATTAAACCTATTAGAAAATCAATTTTTAGCAAAACATCATTAGCACCACCTTGAGCTTGCCGAGACTGCGCTAACATATTCTGTTTTCTTTCTCTGGTAATTTGTGTTTGCTCCTCGTGAAACCACTTTTCGTATTCATCGCCCGGAAGCAACTAAAATTATTGTCATTTTTAAAGTTCGAATTTGAACAGTTAGACTGCGTCAGTTTGCACAGTCTATACAAATTTGGCAAGCTTTTCAGTGGATTAAAAAGAAGTAAGCTATTGTTTTTCGTTTAAAAATATTTCTGTTTGAAACTCAAAAAAAACTTTACTTTCATGGCTGTTTTACAATCTCTTTAACTTACTATAAAAGTGAAAGATAAAGATTGAATTACTTTCTACAACCTTAAAGTACAACTTTGAAATAGCACTCTCTAATATATCCTCTCTTCGTTCTGAATTTAAAAAAAAGTGTGAAAATTTTCACTGTCCAACTTTCTCACATTATTACTCGTACGATTTCACTTTCATTAGACCTCTTTATAACTGAGGTGGTCTCGAAACGTTTTTTTATTAACATAACTTTATTCCAATTTTTATATGAAAGGTCTCGATATAAATATAATAAACTAACGTGCGCCGACGTTTGCCCAACACCATGTTGGTTTGTGGCCTTACATGTGTATTCTCCAATGTCATCAGCGAACATCTGAGGAATAATTAAAGCACAAATTCCTGTTTGTGGGTCGTATTCCTGCTTCGCCCTATAAGTTTTCCAATTTTGGTCAGAATTAGAATTTTTCGCTTGAAGAAAAAATTTTTTAATTCCAACCGGTAATTTTTGAGTGGTGAGCCATTTTTTAACCATTCAACTTGAGGCGTTGGATTGCCAGCTACTCGGGCTTCTAAGACGACCTGCGATCCTGGCTTTAGAGGTTGATGTTTCAGTTCCTTAAGAAAAAGCGGTGCAGAAGGTCCGACCGGAGTCTGGGGTGGACCAGGTGATAATCTGAAGTATTTCAAAATTCTTTGGCTATAATTATTTTTGCTGGGTTTAGTAAAGAAACTCGGGACATCTCGTTACGTTACGCCATCAGTGCTTCTTGGAGGCGTAATCTCAAAGTACTTTACCAACACGCTGTTTTCCACTTTAATACTACCGCAAATTGTTTTCGCTTATCATAATTAGTGATAGTGGGATTAAAGTTTGTAGTCTTAAAGTTGTTTACGCGATATTTTTGACTCCAGGAATAGGTGTTGGGGCGGGCGCTGCTATCAGTGTGCATGTTGACTGTTTCGTTCCAGCAGCGTTCATGGCCTGTATTGTGAACCGACCACTGTCAGAAGCATCCACTTTCCGGATTGTTAACCGGTGTTTTACACCTTCATTAGTAATCTACAAAAGCCCTTTTATGTGTTGAGTAGAAGTACTGTTACGGATAACGACTCCTAACTTGGAACACTAGCTTGGTCACCTCATAGTCAGGACACTGTGTTACATTTTGTCCATCTTTAAGCCACTTCACCACTGGTTCGGGGTGTCCTGCAACTTGGCATTCCAAGACAACACTTTGCCCAACCAGAACTCGTTTATCTTGCAGTGGCTACAAATTTATTTTTGTTTTATCTCAATAATCTGTGCTTGATAAAAATTTTAAAAGAAATGATAACGACAAGGAAATGACGCTTCATTACTCTGATAAAGTTCGGAGCATTTTGATTCTCAGCTCTTTCTCCTAGAGGGCGTTTAAATGGCATTCTCTTTGGCGAACTTCTTTTTTACGTTTCAACTCATCCGTGCAAATACAACGAGCCTGCGACAAGTTATAAACGATGTAATATCGACGTAAAAAGTAAAGATGATGACGATAGTTCACAACAGCATCGCGCTTTTAGCGTTTTATAAAAGAACAATTTTTTTACCGTTTGTAGAGCAACAGTGATTTTTTTAAAAGACTATCTTAGTAACTCTCACAAAGAAAATTATCAGAGTAAAAGATTTAAGGGAAGATTTAGGCAAACTGCGTGCGTCAGCGGCAAAAATGCTATTATTTTTTCCAAATAACTATCAATTAATTTTGAATTTAATGAACTGGAGAAAGAGGTGAGCGAGGTGTTATAGTACTGTGCGCCGCAAAATTCATTTTTGTCTGGTAAAATCCAGGGGGAAACTTACTGCAACGATTTATAAAACACAATTCAAAGTCCCATAAGTCGGTTATATTATAAGGTTTTCCATTGAATCAGTTCAACTTCAATAAAAGCTTACAGTAATTCTATGGCTCAATTATTAGCAGTATTAAAATTCACTTCATAAGAAAATTCCGTTTCGTAAACTTTCTGTAATCGTAAAAATACTGCTTGAAATTTTTAAATTTCTTCAAAAGTTATTTTTGCTTTCTCAAAACTTATTTTATTTTGTTTTATTTTTTTGCTCACTTTATTCAAAATAAGAGTTTTTATCCGCAAGAAAGACGGGCTAAAAGCCGTGGCACTACATGAGATCACTGTCGATAAGGAACAGATTTTAGTGCAATAATTTCTATGAAAAACAAAAATTTACGGTTTTAAGCGATACCAAAAATCGCTTTTTTTGTTGCAAACAAAAATAAGACGACGGAGATACAGACAAATGCTATAAAACGCAAAAAAATAGCTTCAACACCGAGGACGAATCGGGAGGGAACAGGGGGGAGGGGAGGATTAACTTTTATGCCAAGTTGCATAGGCTTTTTTTACCTTTTGTTTTATGCCAATTTGTTTTATGATCGATATATGCCAATATAATATGCGTACGCATAAAAATTTTTTTGATCAAATAAAACATTAGAATATAAAAATGTCAGAGAATTTTTAAAGAAAAATTAAACTCCGCCATAATAAACGTCGTCGATGTTGACAAAAACTCGAAGCCACAGCCACCACCATCACCGCCATGAAGCACTTATAACTATCGGCCTTAACTTAGCTTTTCTAAAACGGCACGGCAATTCTTCACTTACCCTTAGTTCCTCATTGATTGTTTAAAATCACTGTTTTGAAAGCAGTTGCAAAACAAAATTTAAGCACTGAATGAAAAAACGGCTTACTAAAATTAGACTTTCAAGCGAGAGGAAGTATGGTATTGAAAAAATAGTCACAGTTATAAAGAAAAAAAGCGATTGACAAAAAAAAGGATTTTTTTTTAATAGTCTGAATAAGTAGCTACACTGCTTCAAATAGATAAGAACGACGAACCAAAGTTTTCAGAGTAATTTACAAAAATTATTAAAAGTGAAAAAAAAACGCAGAAATACATACAATTAATTCCCTGATTTCAAGCAACTGGTGTAACTGAGAAATTGACATTTACAGCTCTCTCATTTATCCTCCCTATATTAAGTGCAAAGGAAGAGGGAGGAAACACCTCTTTAATTTCATTTCAACATCCATTTTTCTCTTGTACACTTTTGACACCAAAATAAAATAAATTTTGTTTCTTAAAGAAAAAAGTTAAATGAACTGTTTATTAATTAGAAATAAAAAGCAAAAAAAGAAAAAAAAGCACACAATTAACCTAGTTAATCTTCTACAATAATAGCTATCAAGATTGTAGATAAAAAAGTGCAGTGACGCTGTTGAATAAACCCAGAAAATGCTCTTCTTGTTATTATTATTTGTTGCTGCTGCTGATGCTGCTGCTCCCACTGCTATCGCTGCCTTTGCTTTCGTTGTTATTAATATTGTTGCTGCCTTTCTTACTGTTGTTGTTGCTACTCCTGCTGCTGATGCTGCTGTTATTTTTTAGTGGAATAATTTGTCCCTAGTAGAAAGCTAACTTTATTTTTGTATTCAGTGAGGTTAGAGGAAAGCGGAAAAGATTTATTTCAAAACACCAAACTTTTAAGCACTCCTATTGTTTTAAAGCTAAGCTTTAGGAAGTCACAGCATCAGTAGCAGCAGCGATAGCAACGGCAGCAGTAGCAGCAGCAGCTTTTTTGAACAGTTGCTAATATGTTACAATAGAAATGCAGCTGTAAAAGTGAATTGATTAGGCATCGTTTTCAAATCCCGCACTTCAACATTCGAGAACACCAAGTGAATGGGAAAAGTTAAAAACATTTTTTTCAGCTTTCTTTCTGAAGAAAAAAAAAGAAAAATAGAAATAAGAAAAAATCATTACAAGAATCTTTTCCACCCTCCCCCTCGACCACACCCCATCACCTCAAAACAGCACACGAATAACACCATCGTTTCTGTGTTTATCTATTCCACCGAAATATTTCTTATTTTCTAAAGCTGATGCAACTTCTAATGTTATTCAGAAGACCGCATTTTACATTACAGTAAATTTTACTCAGCTTAACACCAGTTCAAAAATTTGTTTTTTATTCTTTGTTTGTTTTTTTTTTT